GGGGGGGGGGGGGGTCTTCAGTGACCTCCCTTATAAGCGGTTGGCAGAGGAGATTTGACGCAGAGGAGAGAAGACCATGTGACCATGGAGGCAGAGGCTGGGGGCACGTGGCCACAAGCCAAGGGACTTCGGCAGCCACCAGGAGCTGCAAGAGGCGTGGACCGAACCCTCCCCCACAGCCTCTGGAGGGAGCGGGCCCTGCCCACACTGGATCTTGTCCCAGTGGTACTAGACTGCGGGAGAGTCCATTTCTGTCGTTTTAAGCTGCCAGCTTGAGGCCCATTTGTTGCTGCAGCCCCAGGGGACACATACACTAGGGGACCCTGTGGTTGGCCTGCTGCTCACCCTGGAGGGGATGCCCCACAGCCCAGTTCCCCCTACAGGCGGGCAAGTCTGCACTGCGCCCGCAGTCAGGGATCCGCTCAGCCCCGCCCTGAGCTCCATCTGCAGCACCAACACCCGGGCGCGGGCTAGGGGTTGCTTTCTGGAAGCAGGGAGAGCTGGGCAGCGAGCCCTCCCTCCCCCGCCTCCACCGTGCTTGCTGACCAAGGTCAGGGCTTGTTCTGGGGTTCCTGGCTGTGCCGGGGGCCCCACTGAGGAGCAGGACCGCAGTGGTGCTGCGTCCAGCCACAAGTGACCGGCCTAGGGCTGGAGTTTGGGGGGTTAAGGGTGGGCTTCCAAGAGCGTGGAAGCTTGAAAGCCCGGGTGAACAACAATGTGTGTGTGACAGCCACTCGTGGGGGAGGAGCCCTCAGTTCATCCCATTCTCAGAGAGACCCCCAACACGTTCAACCCCGCTTCTGCGGATCCAAAGTGACTCATTCTTTGCCCTGGGTGCCCCCACTGCGGGAACGCCAAAGGCCCCTCACCAGCTGGACTCCGGATCCAGTGCCCCACCGCCCCCCTGGGTAGCACAGGTGGACACCTGGCCAGGTCGCCCACAGGGGTGCTGGGTGCTGGGCGGGACGCCAGGTGGGACGGGGCTGGCAACTTGGTGGGGGGCCAGGAGGGGTCCTAACGAGGGCCCTCCCGCAGGGCGAGCCGCCCACCCCCAACAACAGGCGCACACGGCTCCGGGGTCGCTCAGTTTATTGGTAAAACGGGCACTGAGCGTGGCGAAGGCTGGACGCGGAAGCCGGGGCGGCGGCGGGGGCGCTTTTCCTCTTAAAGAACTTCCACTGGACCTTGATGGCGAGCATCCAGTCGCTGACGGAGAGCCTCTTACAAGCGGAGGTGCAGACATGCGCCTGGCGAGGGGGCGGGGCGCCGGGACGGCGCCGGGGGCGGGGCCGGGGG